GATCTCAATGAGTGCTGCATCAAGAGGGAAATATATTTTAGAAATTTAAATAGTGGAGTAGATGAAAACAGGGGAGAGAATTCTCCCTCATCCCCGTTCAATGCCACCACCCACTCATTATGGAACGGCGTTGGTCACCTTGGGGAACATCACCTGCAGCTTTTTTGGGGTCCAAACGAACCACCTGTAGGGGCCACCGTACGGGTTAATTAGAAGCAATCCGAATCCTGCAAAAAAAAAATATTAAAAATCCTGTAATACTAGTGTTGTGCCAAAAAAGAGCATGTAAGCTCTGTAAATGGGTGGGATGGATTGCTCTGTTCAATACATGCATGGATACTGTGATTTAATCCATAGAATCGCAGAATCATGGAGTGGAAAGGGGCCTCTAAGGCCATCTAGTCCAACCCCCTGCTCAAGGCAAGAATCCAGATCAAAGCAGATTGGATGGAGGGTGGTCAATGTTCTCTTGAATACCTCCAATGTTTGAGTGCTCATCACCTCCCGAGGTCCTTGGCTCCATTGTTGTACTGCTCTTACAGTTAAGAAGGTTTTTTCCTGATACTCGGCCTAAATCGGCCTTCCTGTCGCTTGAGTGAGTTTTTTTTCCTGATATTCGGCCTAAATCGGCCTTCCTGTTGCTTGAGCAAATTATGACGTGTCCTGCACACTGGGATGACGGAGAACAGATCCTGCCCCTCCTCTGTGGGCCAGCCTTTCAAGTCTTTGTAAAGTACTCTCCTATTTCTCCCCAGTCTTCTATTCTCGAGGCTAAACTGGCCGAGTTCTTTCCTCCTAGGGCTTGGTTTCCAGTCCCCTGATCCTCCTTGTTGCCCTCCTCTGGACTTGCTCCCGATCGTCGGCATCCTTCTTGAAGTGCGGTGTCCAGGACTGGACACAGGACTCAAGAGGAGGTCTAATCCGTGCTGAAGAAAGGGGAACTAGCACCTCACAGGATTTGGAGACTAGACTTCCCATAAAGCAGCCTAAAATAGCTTACGAACCAAACAGCACGAAAAGCGATCGAAATAGCGAGCTATATACCCGTCTGGACATGCCCTTATTCCTGCTAACTTCATTTCCAGTGGCATAATCTCAGCAGCAAATTCCCACTAGTTAAGAAGCTGGCTTCTGCATTTCCTGTCATTAACTGCCAGATGACCTGGATGCCTGACGAGAAATGTAGACATCAATTTCTTAACTGGTGGCAATTTCCCGAGAAAGTTTATAGCGCTGGATTTATGATGGCCTCAATGTTTAGTCGGATAGGCTTTGGCAAGGATGTTAACAGATTGTAAAAAGTTAGATCAAAGCCTGTTATTAAGAATTCTTTCCCTTTACCTTGATGATAATACAGTTCATTTATGTCTGGAGACTCGTTCGTACATTGTCAGCTAGAATAATCTCTAATCGTTATCGATATCTCAAAAGTATTACCCCAGGTTTTAGGCACGATGCCTCTGCCAGCGTTGTGTAGAAATCCTTGGTCTTCCTTTTGGCGATTCCCCTCACCCAACGGCAAACCAGCGTCAACTCTGCTTAACTTTTCGGATCACATGAGATCGGACCTGATCCATCTGGTGGTGGTGATGGGGGTTCGCGTCCCTTTTGGAAAGCTGTTGTGTTTCTTCCAGGGGGTATGAAAAGATGTTCCATTTGCAGTGTCCCATTTGCGACAACTTTTTGCCTCTTGTGTATTACATCATTTGGACCTGCATTAATGACTTAATTATTCTCAGACTTGGACTTAGCAAAGCTCAGCTCTTGAACCCACTTGAGGGACCTTAGAGTGTTCATCCTCTTCAAGAGCTGGGGAAAAGTTTCCTTTTTTTGAGGGGGGGGACTTCACATGCAAGAAGTCCCACAGTGGGTGGGGGATTCTGGGAGATGTAATCCCCCCGGAAAAAAATCACATCTCTGAGGTCCCCCCAAACCTGATCTCCCTCATAAGGCAAAGAGCAGGAAAACCAAGTAAGCCACTTGGAGAAAAGAAAAAAGCAGGAAATATATGTAAAACTGTTATTAATATTTACAGTGTATTCTTCATATGGCTATTCGTACTCACTCCTATTCGCGTTAATCTTTCTATTGGTGGCTTTTCAGAAATCTTAGTGTCCACCAGAGTTGAGTCATGGCATTCATGAAGATTTGGTTGGACCTTTTGGTGAGATTCAGCCCATGGGTCTCATGGATGCTAAGCCACAGTGTCTCTGCATGCTTCCATGGCTGCCTGCAAGATGACAGCCCCACGGAATGCTCACAAACATTCCAGCTGCTGTCACTGGCTGTTGGCAAAGTGCAGCTGCTGGGAAGGAAGTGAGTACCTGGTTGAGAAAGGCAGAAATAACTGTGATGTGGTCACACACAGGGGAAATTGTAAGTTCTGAGGAGTGTGGTCCCAAGGAGTTGGTGGAACAGGGTTTTCGTGAGGTGCTGATCTGAATTGTACATATCAGAAGAAGAGGTGAGGGTGTGTGTAGAGCCATATTCAGTATGTCATGAAACCTTTTATTCTTTCTACTAAAAAAAGTCTCAGAGTGAATTATTGAGACAATAGTATAAGAATGACAGTACAGTTGGACCCCCTGTCTGTGGGATCAGCATCCACTGATTCACTTATCCGCTGACTGATGATTCTAAATAAAAACTCCTAGAAATACATATTTATTTGTAGGGTATATATACCAGAACTGGCCATTAGAGGGAGACAGAGACCGCATTTTATACTTCTGCATTTTTTAGCATCTGTGGAGCGGCGTGGGAGGATTGCACCCGATCTTCCACGGATACCGCCGTCTTCCTGTAATATCATCTGTTAAAATAAATCCCCTCTCTCTTTTTTTGCTTTTGAAAGCAGAAGAAGGTTTAATAAATCTTGATAAATACATGTTTGAGCAGCCCTGCCCCAAGAGATGCTGAAGAAGGCGGAAATATTTATATTGCATGGTCCCTGGCTCCCCCTCTAGTGGCCAGTTTGGCTAAATACATCCTGGAAATACATATAAATAGGTACTGTATTTCTGGGATTTTTTAATTTAGTATTTTCAAGAAGCGGATAAGGGGATCAGCCGATAAAGGGATCCCACATACTAGAATCTAGCTTGAAGAGCACAGGTGCGGTGGAGGCACAGGGACCCACTTTTCTTCCGCCGTGATCTGCTGAGAACTGCACCCAGACTCTTTCCCCTCGCTTCTCCGACAGGTGGATGAACACGATCTTCCCTGTGATTATGAGCTGGGCCCCCTCCTGCTGATTCGCCTGCACAAGGAGCCGTACTCCTTCTTCCCGGAGAGCAGCTGGTTCTGCGATAAGGTCCAGGTGGTGTCTCCGCAGGGAGAGGTTTACCACTTCCCCTGTTACTCATGGATCGAGGGCTACTGCACCGTTGCCTTCCGAGAAGGAGCAGGTGAGCGTCCTCGGAATGAATTGGGCAGGGCCAGCGTCTCCAGAAAAGACGTTTGGGTGAGATCCAACGTGGGGGGACCCTTCACCCCATATATCTGAGGAGGTGCCCCCCCATGTCCTAGACAAGAGCTGCATTCATACCATAAATGGGAGGAGGATTTGCTCACGCCGAGACACCCCTTTACACACTTCCAGTTAATTGATCACTCACTTGATGACATCACTTGAATATTTTTCCCCATCTTGAGCTATATTATTACTGTTGTTTTTAATTTTATTATATTGTTTTATTTTATCATTGTTAGCTGCTCAGAGTAGACTTTGGTCTAGATGGGCGGGGTATAAATCAATCAATCAATCAATCAATCAATCAATGCCCTTTCCGTACATAGATCTTTCCCTAATCTGACTCTCGTTGGATGATCTCATTAGATACTTCTGGTATTCTTATGCAAAAGTTAAGCAGAGAAAGGGAAAGGCTAAGAGCAGGGGTTGGAATAATTTCTCTCTCTCTCTCTCTCTTTGGACTGCAACAGATACTGAGTGCTGTAGTAATATTAATAATACAGTGGGATCAGTATCTTGTTGGTTCACTTATCCACGGTCTGAAAATATTAAAAGAAAATTCCCAGAAATATATATTTGTTACGATGAAGTTACCAGACGTGGCCACTAGAGGGGGCCAGTGCTATGTACAGCATTCGCTATAATCTGCATTTTTCAGTGTCTGCCGTGGGACTTGGAACCAATAATAATGATGATGATGATGATGATGATGATGATGATGATGATGATGATGATGATGATGATGATGAGAGGGAGATGTCTGCCATCTTGTTCTTTCGCCTCTGGCAGCAGAATCTCTTCCTCCTGTCATGTCAGGAAGAATATAAAAACCCTTTACATATTTTCATCCCCTTTGCTCCCACTTTGGTTCACTACAGCTAAAACCCCTTCAGATGACACCCATTATCTGCAACGGAGGCACCGGCGTGAAGAGCTGGCGATGAAGCATACCAAATATGGGTAAGTAGGCAAACGGATGAGCACCTGTGGTTTTAAAAACCCAAACTAATATCCAGGCACCTACAACTGGCTCCGATGTATTTAATATCCAGGCTTCTGGTTCAGATTTATATATCGCAGTATTTCCGCATAGTAAGCATGACATTAAAAAATAGCAATGAAAACCTAATAATGCAGAAAATGGTACTAGTTTTTCACAAGCGGATGTGGAGAAACCAAAGACCAATGAAGCCTGCAAATGCCTGCAAGACAAAGAGACCTTACAGACAGCCCATGATTGGGAAAGGGAATTGCTTAACGGCTAAAAGCATCTGAGTACACATTGGGTATTTTCTTCCTCTCACCGCCTGTGCAAATGAACTTGCTTTGTTTTGTGACGATCCGCCTTCCGTACTTAGGCACAGCTGTCCTACTCACAGGTAAGCCTCCCTGAGTTTGGTAAGACACACTCCCAGGTAAGTGTACCTCCAGTTGGTTTGGTTTTTTTGTGTGTGTCATTTAGTCATCCAGCGAACCATTCATTCATTCCCGGCCTCTCCCCATTTCTCTCGCGCAGATGGAAAGAATATCTCCCAGGAGTTCCGTGGTGCGCCGATATTGACTCGCTCAATTCGATGGAGTACAACATCCAGTACTCCTTCCCGAAATCCACTGCATTTTTCGGGCGCGGGACAGCTGCGTAAGTGTCGGGCACTGGATTCAAGAGCCGCTTATCTAAGACGGAAATAACTTTTTGCAGGAAAAGCACCAAGGCCTTCCCGAGGGACATGGGGCCACTCGGCTTTGTAGAGACCCTTCCCTGTTTTTAGGCTTTGATGCCCCTGCTATCCAACTTTTTTTTTCCCAGGACAAAACTTTTCAGGGACGACCCAACCAGGCGCGGAGCTTCGCCAGAGTTCTCAAAGACCCACTAAAAACAAAGAAGGCAGCATGCCTATTGAAAAATACCGATTAGTTCCAAGCTAGCCTTCCGGGTCTGTCGTTTGAGAAGGTCTAGGTTGCTATATTAATTAATTAATTAATTAATTAATTAATCGATCAATCAACCAATTAATTAATTAATTAAAATCCATTCTAGGGCTTTCCCTGGCGATTCTAGGATCTCTGGTGATCCTAGTTTCAAACTAAAACCCGGAAGAAGTTATGAACAGACAGGAAATGAAGGATTCCTGTTTCCACATCAGGTTGCCGAAATTTCACATCTGTCATCGGAAGCCCAGCCCCAAAAGTAGGCTCGGTCGGTGGGAAGATGGCCCCGGGGCCTTTTCTGCCTTGGTACCCTACCCACGAGGGTACCCGGTGCGATGTAGTGGATAGAGCGATGGAACTAGGACCCCGGGGGTCTGGGTTCGAAACCCTGCTCAGTCATGGAAGCTCACTGGGGGTGTGGAACCTCAATGCCTCACTTACGTTGAAAGCCCTGATAGGGTCACTGGTACAAATCAACACAGTAAAGAATTAGGCCTCTGCCCAGCCTGGGGAAGTTCCTTCGCCAGATGACAACTCCCAGTCCAAAAAAGTAACTTCTATGCAAACGTGGGGCATCTGTAGTGAGAGGAATATAAGTGGATAGGTGGATCGATTCTGACGGGGGGCGAAAGAATGGATTGAACTAGCAGGGCTCTCTGTTATGTATAATGAGCAGGAAGACGTGTTTTACTTGAGGAAGGTGTCGGGTTCAAATCCCACCCACATCTCTTCCAGCCAGGAGGGCTGGGAAGAGGATCTTCTCTGCCGGAAACCGTGGGGGGGGGCTGCCACAGGGTCGCAGAAATAACCCCTTGCCCGTCTAGACTAGGTGGATCCATGCCGGCCAAGACTTGACACTCGTCTTGACCATGTTGAAGCAAAGGGGAGATTTCTTCTGCTTAAGAGAACCTGGACACACGCCCTGGAGCATTCTGGGAGTCGTAGTCCTTTCGAATGGATTGAACTAGCAGGGCTCTCTGTTGTGTATAATGAGCAGGAAGATGTGTTTTACTTGAGGAAGGTGCCGGGTTCAAATCTCACCCACATCTCTTCCAGCCAGGAGGGCTGGGAAGAGGACCTTCTCTGCCGGAAACCGTGGGGGGGGGGCTGCCACAGGGTCGCAGAAATAACCCCTTGCCCGTCGATGCCATTCAGTTCCTCGTGCACCCAGCCTTAAATTTGGTTCGGCCCAACTCAGATGGAAGATATATAATCTATTGAAAGGGCCACAAATTTTTCACCATTTGATTTATCACAGATGTGAGTCTCCTCTTTTCTTTCTTTCTTTCTTTCTTTCTTTCTTTCTTTCTTTCTTTCTTTCTTTCTTTCTTTCTTTCTTTCTTTCTTTCTTTCTTTCTTTCTTTCTTTCTTTCTTTCTTTGTCCTTCGGTTTAAAAACTCCCCTCTTTGCCTCCTCCTCAGGTTGTTTGAAGCCAAAATGAAAGGCTTCCTCGACAAACCTTATTCCTGGGGGAAGCTTGAGGACATCCGCAAGATCTTCTGGTTCTACCACACCCCTGTGTCAGGTGAGCGATGGGGATGCCTGGCGCCGGTCCATTCACAACCTTCCCTTCATCCCTGCCCTCCCCACCCCTCGGGAATAAGACCGTCGTCTTCCACCGTGGTCCTTTCTGACTCCAGAGCTTAATAAAGACAATCTAGTTGGTCGTCAATTTCCTCTTGACACCATCATGGCTCTCTCCACGCTGGATGTGCCGGCTCTAAACAATGATATTTTCTTCATCCAAACCCACTTCCAAGGTTCTTTCCAGCCAATATGTTGTTCTCTTTCCTGCCCTTCTTCTCCGGTTTGTTTTTACCTTGGACAGCCAACTCTAACTACCTATATTTCCATTCCTAATTACATGACTGATATCTTAGAATTTTCTGCACTGTACACGTTCTCTCTTTTCTTGGGCTGTACTCATTCACAGGGCTCCTTCGTTGGCCACCCTCTCAGTCCAAGAAATACCTTTCGCTCCATAAGACGCACCTTTCCATAAGACGCACCAATTTTTTAGGAGAAGAAAACAGGAAAATATAATCTGTTATCTTCGCTCCATAAGACGCACAGACTTTCCACCCCCCTGTTTTGTGGGGGAAAAGTGCGTCTTATGGTGCGAAAAATACGGTAACTGGTTTCGTCGTTGTCGTTTAGTCGTTTAGTTGTGTCCGACTCTTCGTGACCCCATGGACCAGAGCATGCCAGGCCGTCCCATCTTCCACTGCTTCCCGTAGTTGTGTCAAATTCATCTTGGTTGCTTCGATGACACTGTCCAGCCATCTCATCTACCATCTCATAACTGGTTTAATGGGTCTTAATTCTAAAAAAACAACATTATTTAAAGATTCTGTTACAACTGTAACTGAATGAGAGATACTTTCACTCCTCTTGCAGAGTCATTCTAACTTGTATTTTTAACGGAGCGCTAACAGCATTATAATCCAGATGGCACCTCCGAAAAAGAAGAGGATCAAGTCCTTTTCGGAAGGCTTTCAGGTCTAGCTCGGCCTAGCTCTGCCTAGCTTCCTGTTGAGAAAGAAAGCTCCCATCTAGCACTGGGGCAGGAACAGGAAGTTTAGGCAGAACTAGGCCTAGCTAAATCTCAAAGCCTTCCCGTTTAGGCCTCTTTTCCCAGGTGAACCACCTTTAAGGTGTCTGTAAGGTGTGTGAGAGTCAGGTAGAGCTCCCAAAATGGGGAACTATGGGACTTGTAGTCCAAGAAACTCAGAAACCCTTTCAAACTGCTGCCAGACTTCCTTGGGATTGTTACAAAAAGTCTCTGCCCTTTCGTTTTCTTCCCCTCTCCAGAGTACGTGTTCCAACACTGGAAAGATGATGAATTCTTTGGCTATCAGTACCTCAATGGCATCAACCCAACTGTGATCCAGAAATGTACCATGATCCCGGAGAATTTTCCTGTGACACAGGAGATGGTGGCTGGGCCTTTAGGGGATTTTACTACCCTGAAAGATGAGCTGAAGGTGATTTATGGATCTGGGGACAGTTACTTTTTTGGGACGGGGGGCATTGCCTTCAGAACATGATTCTCCTTCCTCCTGAAAGGTTCAGGCCCCATGAAACTGCCTTAACTAGAGTATGGATCTGGCCGATTTCAGAACCAGGGGTGGAAACTCAGAATTCCTTACTCTTGTTCTCCAGCCTTCACTAATTTTAAGGGTATGAAGCCCAAAGCCAGGTCAAGAATGCAGAAGATGCAGCAAACGCATAGGGTCCTTCTTCTCAGAAAAGGTAGCCCTGAAAGCTAGGTGCCTTCTCCAGGAACAGAGAATAATTGTTTTATTTATTGGTGGTTCGTAACTTAGAATGCGATTTACAGGTTGCAAAGCGGGTGGCAAGTCTGTTCCCCCAAGCGAGTTAGATTTTTCGGAAATCTAGAGGTGAAGAAAAGGGTCAAGAAAATAAATAGCCAAGTTTCCTGGCCCTATTCATGTCCTTTAAAAAAGAAGAAGGATAAATGGTCTTTTTCTTGATGGAAGAAATGGGCGAGGGGGAGAGGAGAGACTCGGGACCAAGTGAGCAGGAAATGTTGTCACTTACCCAGTGTGCCAAAATAGCTAGTTATGACTCTGCTCGGTGGGCAAAACTTGTGGTCGTCCAGATGCCGTGGACCATCATCCGTCCCTCTCCCTTGGCCAGGTTTGCTGAGCCTGATGGGAACTGGAGTCCAAGCACATCTGGAGGAACATGGGGCAGAGAGTTAAAAGAAGGTTGCTTGAGTTTTGTTTAAGCTCTGCCAGGTGGCTTCAGCACCCACCTGGCACCCATGGATGGAAACCTGGGAGGCCTCTGGTCGTTCTCTGGCTAAACGATGAGCCTCCCGCTTCCGTGCACCTTCGTTTTGCAGAAAGGGACCATCTACCTTGCCGATTACAAGATCCTGGAGGACGTCCCCACCATCCAGGTGAATGGGAAACAGCAATACATCGCCGCGCCTCTGTGTCTGCTGCATCAAAAACCGACGGGCGAAGTCATCCCGCTTGCCATCCAGGTAAACAAAAGAGCCAGAACGTTTTGTCAGAAAGAAAACGCCCACCGAGAGGTCCCCGCTTTTCAGAGGGCGTCCGCTGGACCAGTGGGAATGGCTGGCTTCAGTTGCACCGTAATAGGGAACCCACTCCGGGTTTCGGTCCAAACCATATGGGAAGGACCTAAAGTACAGTAGGACCCCCTTATCCACTGGATCAGCATCTGTGGATTTACTTATCCGCTGCCTGAAAATAGTCAATTAAAAAAATGGAGATTGGTGTATTTACTAGAAATAGCCACTAGAGGGAGACAGAGACAATACTATGTACAGCATTTACTACTCCGGTGTTTTTGGGTATCCGCGGGGGGTAGGCGAGGAAGTGATCCCCATCAATACTGTGGTCCTCCTAGACCTATACTGAGCCTGTTTTGGAGAGAGGGCCTAGCTCCATAGACTCTAACATGTTCATGCCAAAACCCATCAACAAGGTTGAAATCCTGTCCAAGGTACCCCACCAGACTTACACAGGCAAAGCGACACAACAAGATTTTAGCCTCTGCTTCCTAGAATATGTTTCAGGGTTTTGAGGGTTTTTTTAAATTAACTTCCTCTAGCTGCTCAGCAGAAATGCAGAGGTTTCAGAGAGCAGAATAGCTTCAAAGTCCCCCAGAAGAGTCCACCCCTTTTGTCATTAAGCTGGCCCTTAGAGTCTCAATAACTCACTCTTAGTAAGAGAAAGAATAAAAAACGTTTTCTTTACTTACGGTTGGGAACAGATTAAACAGCAAACTGACAAAACGTGAAGGAAGGTGAGTTCTGGACAGATGGACAGTCACCCTAGCTCGGAAAGGTCCCCCCCCCAGCCAAACCTACTAAAGGCCACATGCGAGGTTGCCAAAACTCCAACGAGACCGTCGTGAATGTGAAACCTCTCTCTACAGCAACCACACCATCATCCTCTTTGCTTTTTTTTTTCAACCTCTTTTTTCCTTGTAGCTCAGCCAGCACGCCGGCTCCCAGAGCCCCATTTTCCTGCCCACGGACGAAGAGTGGATTTGGACTCTGGCCAAGACGTGGGTCCGGAACGCAGAATTCCACGTCCACGAGGTGATCGCCCACCTCCTCCGCGGTCACCTGATGGCGGAGATCTTCACCGTGGCCACCTTGAGGCAGCTCCCCATGTGTCACCCAGTATACAAGGTGAGAACTCGGTCGGGCCCAAACCTGTAGCCTTCGCTGGGGTGGAATGACTTTCAGGGATTAGCCATTCCCGGGATCTCCTAGCCAGTGTAGTTCAGGACAAAAATCACTGTAGAAAAAAAAATAAAAAGCCATGACAGTAGAACCCTCTACTGATTCACTTATCTGTGGTCTGAAAGTATTAAAAATAGTAAAAAGGAAAAAAATCCCCCAAAATATACTATATTTTTAACGACAAAGTCACCAGAACCAGTGCAGAGGAAGCCAGAAACCATGTTGTGAGTCGCTTTTGCTGCTATAAAAAATCTGTGGTTTTTCAGCATCCTCAGGGGTGGGGGCTTGCAGGTGCAGGGCTCCTACAGCATTTAAATCATGGGATGTAAATATGGGGAGGAATTCCACCTTACCCAGTGCAATGCAGTGGACAGAGTGACAGACTAGGACACAGGAGGTCTGAGTTTGAATCCCCACTTAGCCATGGAAACCCCACTGGAGGTGTGGAATTAGTAAAAAAAACACTCCTTAAATACCTCATTCACCTTGAAATCCCTATTAGAGTCGCTATAAATGAGTTCTGACTGAACTGATTAATAGTGATTTATAGTGGCACATAACAGAACAGAATTCCACCTTATCTTAATTTTTTTGGTTAACAGGGGATGGTATTCGAAAGGGACGAGTCAATATTGGCCGTTTCTAGTGACTGATCTTTAATACGAATGCATAGCAGGATTGCTATTCACTATTAACACAACGCATTGATTTTAAAATATTCACAGAACGCTACTCATGCTAAGGTATCCTGACACCTTTTTTTTTTTTTCAAAGGCTGGTGGTCCTCCTGACCTTATCCCCTTGTGCAAGTTGGAACAGATAGGAGGCAAAGAGAGAGCACTCCTTTTAGCTTCAAACCAACTGTTGGGTTTTAGCGGTCAAAAGAGGAATGTTTGAAAGCCAGGGCAAACTCTTGAAGCCAGGTGTGTCCGGGGAGAGGTCTGCCAGGCACACCTTGACGTGGGTGGCCAAGCAGATGGTCCCGGCCCTTTGGGCACTTGGCAGGTGGTCCAGATTCCAACACGCTTCCTACCAGCCCAGATGTTCACCAGTGCCAGGGCTGGGAGGAGACACAGGGGCAAACGTCCCCAGCCATAAGCATGCCCAGCTATGCCCGGCAGAAGGACACCTGCCCTGCCAGCTGTTTTGTTCTCCTCCCCTCTGGCGCTTCTCTTTGATGGGGGAGAGGGGTCCATGCGCAACCCAGCTGAATGTGCGAGGGCGTCTTCGTTCCTTAAAGGGAAGTGGGTTGTGTGAATCAGAAAATTCCCTCATTTCTCTGTCTAGCCTAATATTACACTCAACTTGCAACAGCTCTCCCTGGTCCCTGGCAGAGAAGAATCCTTCATCCCCATGAACGGCCTTATTTGGGGCAGGAGGGGGAAGTGTTTGGACCTGGGCTTGGAAATAATTAGTCCCCAATGACCTTATCATTCCTAATTATTTTTTAAAAATTATCAGCCTTTTAAAGAGTTCCATATCAATTGCTCAAGAACAACATTGGCGCTATTCATATTTCCTGTAAATGTATTGTATTTTTGTGTTGTGTTGTGTTGTTTTTATTTCTGGGAGGACCCCTGGGTTGGGATGGCCATTTTTTTGTGGTCCTCAAAACCTTTTTTCCCCCTTCCAGATTTAAAACTATCTCATTGCCAGTGTGACGTCGAGAATCAACACAGCAAATCAATGTTGTCCCTTCTGTCATTGATTAATGTTAATTCTCAGATTCATGTCCACCTTCATATTTTCAAACTGGTAACCTTGTCATAGGAAACACTGGCCCTGCCCATGATTCGTGAATTTTCCTAATTAGTCTCCCATGGCACACGGCTATATTATTGTTTTTATTGCATTATTGTTTGTCTATATTGATTTGCATGCCAAAGGCCCTGTGTCACGTATATGTGCACGGTGGTTACCCAAAGCACAGTGGTGTGACCTTTTTTCAATAACAAATGCACAGCCTTTATTAAAACAGCTGGTGTCCTGTTGCGGCATGCCACACTCACAACGCTTTGTTGTGTACATGCTGGTGCTTTCTCACAACTTGTGCAAGGAGGTTTCACAAATCTCCCCCCCCCCCCACTGCACAGGCATCAGCCCTGTTGAAATCAATAAAGGCGATCTCTGGCGTATGAAGTGAACCTTACACAACACCGGTGATGATACAGACATTGGCCAATAGACCCTGAGTAATTTTCAGTCTTGTGTTTTTCTTCCTCTTCCCAGCTTTTGATCCCTCACCTACGGTATTCGATCCATATCAACGTGTTGGCTAGAACTTTCCTGATCTGCCAAGGAGGCACCTTTGACCGAGTAAGTGGAGATGCACACAGATGAACATCGCCTTTTAGGTCAAGGTGAAAATGTGGTTCTTCTCGCCCCAGGGAGTAGGAAGGCATAGCCGAAAATGATTTGGAGTCATTCATGGGTGCAATTAATTTGAATCAATTTATTTAATTCAATTAAATTGAATTAATTAATTAGAACAAAGAACAGGGGGGGGAATTGTGAATGCCTTTTGTTAGTTTCTACTGGATAAAATATTTTCAAGTAAAAGACAGTAGAAAGAACCCTAGAAAATAAGAAAATAATAACCTTCAACAAAATCAAATCAATTGTTAGTTACATTCAGAAATTTCCCCATGCAGAGCAGACTATGACTCCACTCTCACCAACGCCATCTCGTAGACACAAATCTCAAAGAAACGACATTAACTCTTTCAATGAAATCTCTGGGATATGCTCAACTCTCTGTCACTACAACACCCATCGTTCCCAAACACCATGGCATTTGGTGGCAGTGATGGGAAATATAGTTCAACCCTTTGAGGAGGGGCCCACCAGAAGCTCTGCTTATGTTGATGCTAAGAGCCTGGTAGTGCAGTGGTTGCACTGCAGCACTGCAGTCAAGACTCTGCTCACGGTCTGAGTTTGATCCCCACGGACTCAGGTAGCCGGTTCAGGGTCAACTCAGCCTTCTATCCTTCTAAGATTGAAAAAAAAAAGCATTCTGGGACTTCTTTAAAATGCCTGCTCCTAGTCGTCCCTTTTTCCTTCCAGGCCATTGCCATTGGGCGCAAAGGTCTAGCCGTTCTCCTGAAGAAGGCTCTCGAAAACCTGACCTACACCCACCTGTGCCTTCCAGACGACATCGAGGCCCGGGGAGTCAGCTCTCTTCTGGATTATCACTACAGGGATGATGGGCTAAAGATATGGGACGCCATTGAGAGGTGAGGGGGAAGCAGGTCCGGAGAGAGATCCGTCAACTACGAACCGTGCACATTCTGGGGTCCCGGGGCCAATTTTTCCATCTCGGCGATCTGTCGGGAACCTCGCCAGCCGCGGACATGAAACCAGAAGTGTGGGGAAGTCCATTTCTGATTCTGTTTAAAGACCCCTTTCCTCTCTCTCCCTGCAGCTTCGTCACCGGCGTGGTCGAACTCTATTACCAGAACAACTTAGCCGTCCAGAGAGATTACGAACTGCAAGCCTGGGTTTGTGACATCTTCACCAAGGGGTTCCTGGCCAGGAGGACATCAGGTAAGCCACACATCTCGTCTCGAAAATGAAGTCTTTCCACCGCTTCCTCTCCATCTGGTCCCACTGGTCCTGGCCTCTGTGGCTTCCTCTCCTTGCGGACTGTCTGGTGGAAAACCCATCTCGGAGTGTGATCGCCTTGTGGACCACTTAGAGGGATGATCTGGTGCAATCTGTTTCCTGGGGAGCAGAGGATGCACGGG